GTCACAGAAATTGTGTATATCACTTGTTTTTTTGCACTCGTTGTCAGTAAATATGGAACAGAAGGATAAGAAACAGCAGATCTGGCAATATTCTGGCGCAAAAATTCAATATCAACGCGTTTTAAGTTTACATTTATTAACGTCGCTTAATTAAACTCGCAGGTTTACTGGTTGAGCAAGTGGATGATTGTTGACTTAAGAGATATCCTGTTTTATATTTTGATTAGGCATATTGTCTGACTTTTGTGTATTTAATATAGGTTTTTATGCCCCAATCGTAAGTTATAGACCCGGTCATGTCACTTGTTTTTCATTTTGAGGTAGATGAATGAATGCCAAAGAAACCTGGAGGAACGTAATAGACTTAGCTGCAGACACTGCTTTTAAAAGTTATCACACCTGACTGATGGCATAGAAGCGATCACCATAGCACCAGAAGTTCCATGGTAAGAAGGGGACCGCAAACGGTGCCTTTCATGGAAGTGTATCGGGGTCCGACCTGCCAGTGATTGCCAACTTTCGTATTTTATTCTATTCGTAAAGTTCTGAAGATGACCCGTCGGTCGCACATCTTGTTTCCACAAGCAGGCTTCTGGGAAACATTGTTTCAGTAAACTAGCGCAAAAACCACTGACCTGAGTTTTTCAGATATCTAGCGTTCTTATTAAAGTTTCACTCAAAGAAGGTGGCGAGATCAGTTTCCCTGCTTTCTCAGCCAGAAGTATTTCGTAATGTAATGAGTAGCTGCCAGCCGTCGCCAGTAACGATTTTTGTCTGATCGTCCGCATATCAAAAATACGCATCGTTGATCCACTTGGATGCTCCTACGCCATAATAAAATTTTTGATTTTGCTGATATCGTTGATACTGTATCGACCCGTTTTCCTAATCATAGATCCTAATAGCAGAAGTTACTGTTTCGACTGACCATAACGGAACAAATTCGGAGTTTCTAAAACTAAGAAAACCCTTGCCCTTTCACATCTTGGCAGTGCTCTGTCAACGTGTTTGCGGGTTCGTCACGGGATATTCAAGACTACCGTAACTGCTGAGGATAACACACAACCTTTTTTGTTCAGCTGTGCCGTTGCGTTATTGGGTCTTTGCTCCTGATTTTTTGATCAGGACTAAAGAACAGACTTTGAAGTGTAAAACTGAATATTGATTCAGTACCGGAGTTAAATTATATGTTATATGCCTACGGATCGAGGTGTATCCATTGGTGTTCGAACTTGTTTTTGTTCGACCAAACAAAGTGCTACTGGTCTGCTCAAGTGCACTGCAGATGTTAAAATACCATAGAGCTGTGGCCTGCTTAAACGACCCTCTAGACTATTAAGTGTGAATCCAGAGAAATGACAGGAGAAACCTGAATTATATATTACTTTATTGACTCTGGTGCAAAGAAATATTTATATAGCAGGAAGTTCTGAGTTGAACGATGTTTAGCGCTGTTTCGGCTGCAGTGGTTACCTCGGCATGATCGGCGGTCGCCCGAACCACGCGTTGTATTTCATCGGCTTGGCCGGAGATAAACTGATATACCTGGACCCCCATGCAAGTCAAATTTCAGTGGATCTGGACGAGGGGTGCGAAGCACTGCAAGATGCTTCCTACCACAGTACTTCCTTGCTCAGCATGCCGGTCGACAACATCGATCCGTCAATTGCTATTGCCTTCTACTGTGAATCTGAAATCGACTTCGACGCTTTCTGTGACTTCGCTCAGCAGGTAAGCAGCGCAACCTGTGACTGACCGCTGATCGCACTGTCACATTTTTAGGAACTTCTGGCCCAGCATTGCCCGTTGTTTGAAATCCTTGAGAAGCATCCTGCAACGTGGCCGCGGTTTCAGCCGTATGTCAGAGTCGACGAAAAGCAGTCAGGTAATCACGTTCTGCCTTTTGATTCATGGCACATTTGAGGCGTCGGTGGCAAGTTTTGCTGTGGTGAAAATTGCCGCTGATATTCTGAATTTACTTTGAACACAGGTTAGTTCTTGATTCTTTTGACTAGAATAACATATCAGCATTGTTCCATCGGTTAGACAGCGTACTAGCAAGGTCCTTTTGCTTCTAAAGGTCTGGGAGACCTTCAAAGCAACCCCCTGGTATAGTAGCATCTGCAATTTGTAAGTAAAAATGTAAACTTCTTCATTCTATCGGGCCTAACAACCTGTTTGTAGACCAACTTAAATACTCCGTGCCATACACTCATTCTACAAGGATCAGACCAATTTATGTTCACTTCATTCCGTTCGATGCCGTGTCTTTCCCTCTTGTGGGAGGTCTTTCTTCCTGCCGATTGTCATCATGCTTGTGTTGCAAGGCGGTTATCGTCCATTAGTTGACAATGGTCCCACCATCTAAAATGCCTTGTTTCCAGCCAGTCGCTCACTTAGTTGGATATACTAATCTCCCTATTACATCAATATTTGACACAAAGTCGTACTACTTCCCTCGTAATAGATAATCTTAAAATGTGCATTTCCGTCGCCGTCAGTTTTCTGTTTTCAGCTTTGAGATCACAGAGCAAGATATTCGGAACGCAAGATCCGTATATCCGCAGTAGTTTTGTGCTGCTGCAGCATCTTTGTGCTTCCAGAGATTTGATAACTTGTTTCACGTTGATGATATCAGGGTGCAGTGCCACTTAACTTCGTTTATCCCTCGGTTAGGTGCGCTGTCACGATGTAGACATTCCGGTATTTCTTCACATCTTCGGTATCAGACAGTCAATGGTCTTTCGGTCCACTTCGTCGTCGTTAGATTAATCGAGAGTGCCAGAACACCTCATTTTCAGAGTTAGTTTTAGTGTTGTATGATGTCACAACGTCGAAGTTTCTGCTAGCACTACGATATTATGTGCAGGTGCAAGAGACCTTTCGCAGATATTGCCCACCCTTGCCACGATCGTAGCTGCACTGTTGTATTGGCTGAATCACCTATTCAAGAAGCACCGCCAACAGCAGAGGTGAGAGGTGATTCCACTCCTCTTTATCTTGCTCAGAACATTGTACGAAAGAATTTACCGAACCTGTCATCACTTCGCTCTGCGCTTGACGAAAGATTATACATCATTGTAATTACATGAATAATCTTTGATGGGATTCCATGTTTTTCGAGTAATTTCTACAAGGAATATACCCAAACTGAGTCAAGGGCTTTTGTGAAGTTGATGAATTCTATAGAATTTTGATTTCCAGTTTTTCTTCTTTTCATTCGCCGTCTGGTTGTGAATGCGTGATAAAAATATTCTCTTCATCTCCTGAATCGAGACTACTCTTTACCCAAGATTTTCGCGTGATGTTTTCTAATCCCGTTTGAATTTTAAGCTGCCTGCAATAATAGACTGTGATAAGAGGGGTAAAGAAAATTCATACAAAAGGAAAGCACGATATCCGACGAATGAATACGCCCACTGTTGTAACGATAGACAGTTAGACAGTCGTTGAGCATCGAGAAAGTCTGTATTGCAAATACTTTATCAAAGGTTTTTGCGATTTACATTTCCCCTCACTTTCCATTATCGCTTCTCCTTTCGGGTCGCGTAGGCAGACGCGGGAAACAGCGCTTCCATCATTTCCGATCCTGTGTCAGCATCTGAGCTTCGGCAGAAGACAACCAGAGTCTACAGCGGAATTCTTTCATGTGTTTGTACTAGGTTAATCTTGAACGTCCACTGGGTCGTCAGACATTCAGCTAGGCAAGAAGTAGTTGCTTCGCATTCCTTTCTAGAGCCATTCGCAACACGTGCCCAAAGGATTGCAGCTGTGACTTCTCAGTCTGAAAAAGCAGTGGCTGTACACCGAGGCTTTCGCGGATTTCTGTATTTCGACCGTGTCGAAACTCGAAAATCGAAAGGCCAGCGACTCGTCTCACAAAGCCCATTTCAGCCGCTTGTACCCGGGATCGAAGTTTTCAGGCATGGTCTACTCATGACCGTAGGTAAGCATGAAGATCGACTTGAGCACCGAGAGCTTAATCTTCAGACTCATTTCTACTTTAGATACAATGGTCCGGGCTAGTTCACCCAACCACTGGCTACTCCAATTCGCCGGTCGATCTCTTCCTCCAGTTTTCCATCACTAGTAAATGTGATTCCGAGATGCTTGAACTTCTCCACCTGCTCCACTGCCTCTCCGTTAGTCTGAAGAGAGCAACGGACAGGACAGCGAGAAACCACTAGACTTTACTTTTCGTTTTAGATGCGTTCATACGCATGCTGATCACGTCGCATTCGGCTGCCAACCTTTCTAGGGAGCACTGTAGATCAGTTTCAGTAGATGCCAATAAAACAAGATCGTATGCAAATGGAAACGTACTTGTTTCGACATCCCGTACACTGATACACTCATTGCCTTGACTGCTCCTGATTATTCTGTCCTTGTTCAACACAAACATAAGAGAGGACAGAACGCAGCCTTGGCGTAGATCAATGCCAGTGCTGAGAGGTTTCGATTCGTCATTTCGCTGGCACAGCACTTGCTATCAACATATAATGATTGAATCGCCCGTATCAATTGGCCATCGATCACACATGTTCGCAGGCATGCCCGTAGAGTTGTTGCGCGGGATCCGATCATAGGCTTACTCTAGGTCAGCAGAGCGCATGTACATCGAATGGGCGAACTCCCACGATTTCTTAACCTCTGACGACCGGGCCGAAAGCCACTCGGCTCTTCTTGTATCTTGAAGTCAGTTATTCTGCGGCACTTCGTTTCTAGCATCTTGGCGTAGACATTTCCCGAGAGTCTCAGTGAGGTAATGCCAGTTGGTTGGAGCACTTCTTGTAGTCTCCCTTTTGAACAGGGGTACAACAACCTCCGTTTTCCAGTCGGCTGATGTCATCCCCGTAGACATTGCAGTTTTACTGACACATAAGCTAGTATTGACCTTGTTGGCCTAATGCTTTGACCACTTCATGGCGGATTTCATCAGTTCCAGCAGCCTTCCTACTTTTCTAGCTTTTCACAGCTTGTATGATTTCTTCTATAGAAATAGTGATGTCCGGTCCCTGCTGCTTTACACGCGAGTCTTTCCGTTGTTTCGTCGGTGTTAAGGAGTTCCTCAAAGTACTCTCTCCATCGCCGAAGAATGTCCTATTCATCGGTAAAGGGGTGTCAAGACTTGTCCTTCAAGATTATTACTCCCTTCTTTTCACCGAATCCGGCCGATGGTATGCCAGCATGTCTTATTTGCCGTCTGGAAATTCGACTTCTATACAGCATCGAATTTCTTCCAGGAATCAACTCTGGCATTCGCCACTGCTATCGCTGTCGCTTTGCACGCTTTTACGTAGCATGCGAGACGAAGGTTCTTTGCTTCCAAGCGATCTCTTGAATGGTGCCATCTTCTTGGTGACATACAGTTATAACCCAAGAAATTTGTTTCTGATCTTCAGACGGCAGGCCAACCTGTTTAAAACCACAGCATTCGGCGGTAACTCTGGATAAGCTATTAAAGAGCTTCCAATCGGTTTCTACATCTACGGTCATCGCCGAAATTGTAAATTTTGCCCTCTTATCCGCGGAAGATAATTCTTTTGTTTGATTCTGTGATTGCTTCTGCTGCCAGGTGTTCGCATGGTACTCCATCTGTTACAGAGGAGGGTGGCAACAACAAAGTGATGATCAGTTGTCAGCTCTGTGCCTCAACGCGAACATCCATTATAGACGGTCGTAAGTTTGACGATAACAGTTATCAAATCGATCATCGAGTTCCGTGCTCATGCTTCCCTATACCAGGTATACAGATGCACACTTCGATGTTCGAAGAAAGCGTAATAATGGACAGTCTGTTATTTGCACAAAACGGCAATAACTTCATGCCGTTATTGTTGAGGTCGCTATGACCGTTCTTTCGCGCCTTTTCACTTTTCATTGCCGACTCCGACATGCGCATTAAAATTGACATTAAAATGAGGGACTGTGTAGTCGGCATTTCGTACATAGCACACTCCACTTCCTCAAGGAAGGGTTCATATTCTTTATCCGAATTGGGCGCATAGACCTGTAGCAAGTTCAACGCTTTATCCTGTTGTAGGACCAGTCGGTGGATTGCTACTCCTCCGCAACTTCCATTCAGTGATTCTGCCAGGCAGGTTGGGTTCTACCAGAACAGCGGCACAGCAGCAACAAAGCGGAGTAAAACAGATTCCGCTTGCAGAGGCTGAGAATTTTAGAGCACTGGCGCTTCCTTGACGAGAGTTCAGCTATGTCATGTTGGTACATTGTGGCACCATCAACTGGCCCTTGCTCTTTCTATTGGAATGAAGTTCCAGTGTTCCAGTTTCCGACTACAAGCTTCCACTGACAGTGTCGTTCCCGTCGAGCCTTTTCTGTTTGATATAATGGCATCGCGCTATCTGCCTCTGTTCAGAAGGGGTACGAGGTGTGTTGCTAATTGGTATCTTCGTCGTCTTTTTGTCAATCTTCGACAGCCGTTGTCGTGCTGCTACGCCCCTCCCCCATCAGCTGCCAGGAGGTGGTGAACAGGTTTTTATCATCGACTTTTCACAACCTGCATCAATTCCCTATCAGCCTGTGGTCCCTTGGTTACCCGGGCGATGACCGAGCCGGTATAAATTTCGATGACGGCAATTAATGTGGCAGGTGGCAAAATTTTACGGAGACATCGCCACGGTTTTCTTCTCTTTTTCTTTCTCATCCACGCTCTGAACCGACAGAGGCGGAGGTTTGCGACCTTTTACTATGGTCCGCTTTTGATGTGTTGCACTGGAGTTGAGCACCAAGTCAGACCCTGGTTTTGCTAAATTTCATGTGCGGAACTTCGACGACTGCCTCTAGCGCTACTTTTATATGAATGGCGGTCATTTCATTTCGACGTCTGCTAGGAACACCCAGCTTCTCTTCTGCCGTACGCATCGGCAAAAATTGTGTGTTACTGAGTTATATAAAAGGCATCAATATGTTTGAGTTGACCGGAAAGTACTGAAAATAAGCGCAAATCACAATGGACCTGATTTCCTTATTTTTGCTGCTTGCTTTTGGGTCGTAAGTAGAAAATCTGAGTTAACATTCTATTTTAACAGTTGATAGGAACGTTATTGAAATTTGCAATGTATTCCGCGCATTACATGTTTATTACGGCTTATGCATATTTTGAAGTATTTAATAGTATTACAGAGCAACAGTTTTAGTAGACAGGGAAATGATGCTGTATCTACCGTGTTTTAAAGCATTATTTGCATAGCGATTGGTTTACTATATGAAACGCTGTTTACTTTATGTTACAGGCATAATTTGTTGATTGTATGTACATTATAGATAAATTTATTAGTGGTAGGCATATTTTGTTGCAGTACCTTAGTTTGCAGTATCTTATTTTACTGTATGCGCAGACAAACGTTGAAATATCTTTTGTAGAATTTACGCTTGTTGATGAAAAGTGTGAAAGCGACGAAGATTTCGAATTGCTATCTTGAAGTGTCGTGCCACCTCGCTGGTTGCTATAGTCTCATACTTATATGAAAGTCATTGTGTTCTCGCCATTGTGCGTTATGTATTGTATTCTTGCTCTCTGCTTTGCCGTCATAAAGACTTATCTTTTCACTCTTAATTTTAAACTGTTAGCAAAATTTTGAATCACTGTTATCTGGCAATTCGTAACGGTTGGAGGCCAAAACACCCAAATGACTTGATTTGCGGTCCCATTGACTTGTTTGTTTGAATTCTAATGTTTTTTGCTAACTGCTACGAAATGATAACTTAAAAGGGAATGACGGTTCAAGCGACGTAATGACATCTCAGTGGTTTTCAGTCACCGCTCTGAATCAATGTAAAATATTGCATTAACAAATAGGCAGAAAATGAGATTGTTGTTGCAAGGAAATCAGTCCGACACCGACAATTTGAATCCAGTAAAGTGATGGAGTTGAAGGTAATAAAATGAAAGGTTAAGATATTTTTTCCATGATATTTTTTACTAGGAACAAATACGATATTTTGATTTGTTGAGTAGGTAAATGCAATTTGCATAGAATTAAGAAGGCTGGCCATCCACTAAAAAATTGTTCATGACTTGCGTGGTTCAGGCAACACTTAGGCAGAAAAAATAATGTTTACTGCTTCATTTTTGAGCCAATGACGGCCTCCTCGACCGACAAATTTAGGCTAATGGATGCGTTTACTAGAATTCTCGCAGCTTTAGATCCTCGAAGCGAAACCACGAAATTGATTATGCTTATGACAAAATTAAAAAGTATTCTGTGCAATTTAGGCTTTTAATTCCAAATCCTCAATGATTACGAAGCTAGATCTGTCTCATAGTGATCGTAAGATCCAAAAATGTTCGTTATTACACAGAATACAAATTCTACTAAGAATGCTATCTACTGAGTTTTATACTCTGCCTTTAGAAAAACCCTCGACCTGCTTCGGATAATCCGGAAAAAGTAATATATCCATGTGTTTACGCTGCCTGTAACCAATTTGAACAGGTTTAATCCTTTTTACTGTGAAGATAATTACAGCTGTATGGTTTAAATGCTCAAGTCAAAAAAGGATCCTTAGTTGCCAAGGACCGGCCCTTCCTTCGTTCGCCTTAGGTTCGATCGAGAAAGCAATGCGAACAAAGCGTTGCATCGAAAGGATCAATCAATTCATGACGATTGTTCAAGATGAACTCTGCACAAATGTGAAATCTTTCTTTGGCATTGATTTGTACGATGATTACATGAAGCAAATTGATTTCAAGAAGAGTAAAGCAAAATACATGTCCCCGATATTCTGGGGTGTCTTTAACGAAAAGGAACTTACATTACAGCCTGTGAATGTAAGTGTGTAAACATATCACACACGGATATAGGGTTTACGCCGCAGTATCGTTATGCGGAAGAAAAAATTATCTTCTTACTTTACTCTGACATTGCAGTAGTGTAAGATGAATATAAGTCTTTACACAGCGTAGTATCACAATCCTGCATTGGCTTCTTGCTCCTAGTCTCCTACAGAAACCATTTACGCAGGCCACGGCTCGATGGTAAGTTCTCTCCGTGTAAATCCGGTATAAGCATTTTAAATGTTAACTTTATTTTAGATGTACAACATCCAAAGCTTTTTTAAATGCTCAAATCTGCTTATTTTTGAACAACATAGCAAGCAATTAGGCTACCTTTATTACAGTACAACATTGTTGTAATTGTAATACTTGCCGCAGAAGTTACAGTATGCATATAAATTCAAGTTTTCAGGTAACCTAAGCATTCTCTGTAACGTGCAACGCGAAAAGTCCATAATTTAGGTGGAGACAAAGTTGGACAAAAACTATATTCCGTGATTTTCTGCTGTTTGAGCTTATTCACAATTACAGTAGTGCGAACTTCGTTCGGTCGGCCGAACCGATAGTTGTGTGCATTGCGGCAACCGTATTAGAAGCTGTATTTCGCCGCCGCGAGTGGTACGAGTTCGGCTGCGTGATTCCCGCGCTCCAGCCATCTTGTCGTTTCGTTTCAGGGTTCACGTCCAGTGGTGCAGTGTCCGGCATAGCTCGCGCTGCGTCCAGCTTCCAAGTCGGTGCTCGATTGTGCGTGTCGTCGTCGTCCGAGAAGGCGGCGTTCTGATGGTGCGTCCGTAAACGGCGAATTGGAAAGGACTCTATGTTTGGCGAGGTACCCTAAACGTCAACGTGCTACGTTTAGACATCGGGTGCTTGTAGACGAACGAACCGCGGGTGGGCAACGTTGCCAGCCTCGTGAAGCGCATCAGCTCGGAGCTGCAGTCAAAGACCGGCATATACAATCCGGAGACGGGCATTAAGAAAGGTGAGCGGATCCGCATGCAGATCCACATCCAAGTCTGGATAAAATCGGATCAAATTTAAGTGATCAGCAGCAACTCTGCCGTCGCCGCGTGGTTGTTGCTGTCAAGTATCGGCTTTGTGTGCTTTGCTGTGTTTTTGCTGTGCGTCAGACGCTTGCCGCGTCGAACACCGGTAGACTATAGTTTGGTTATTGCTATGGTATTTAGTGTCGGCCAGCGAGC